GTAAACCACAAAAGACAACATCAATTTATGTTCATGTCGTTTAATTTTTATATTTGAATAAAAGTATATTTATGAGTTCTTGGTCTCCATGACGTAGGTTCAAATGAAAAAAATTGTTTCTTATCTTGAACATGGGATGCCCAAACTTGATTTCCCACACTAAAATCACACTTAAACAACAAAATCACACAAAAACCATTGCATTTATGCAAAAAATACAAAAATTTAGACTATGGTCCCCTATGTTGCCAGAACTGGCTCCTGCAGTACAACTTTATGTACAAACTCAGGATTTTATTCGTGTAATCGTTTACCAAGGTCTTGTAAACGATTACAACTTTGTTTTTTGCTCTAGACCTTGCAGGACTTCAACTAACTTGTTCAAATGAAAAAAATTGTTTCTTATCTCGAACATGGGGTGCCCAAACATGATTTCCCACACTAAAATCACACTTAAACAACAAAATCACACAAAAACCATTGCATTTATGCAAAAAATACAAAAATTTAGATTATGGTCCCTAGGGTTACCAGAATTGGCTCCTATAGTACAACTTTCTGTACAAATCCCAATTTTTGTTCGTGTAATCGTTTACCAAGTACTCGTAAATGATTACAAGTGTTTTTCTTGGTGCAACACTTGCAAGACTTCAACTAAGTTGTTCAACTCAACAAAATTGTTACTTATGTCCAACATGGGTTGTACAAACATGATTTCTCACACTAAAATCACACTTTAAAAACAAAATCACACCAAAACCATTGCATTTATGCAAAAAATTAGACTATGGTCCCCTAGGTTACCATAGTTGGCTCCTGTAGTACAACTTTATGTACAAATCTCAATTTTTGTTCGTGTAATCATTTACCAAGTACTTGTAAACAATTACAAATGTTTTTCTTGGTGCAATACTTAGAGGACTTCAACTAAGTTGTTCAACTCAACAAAATTGTTACTTATGTCCAACATGGGGTGCCCAAACACGATTTCCCACACTAAAATCATACTTAAAAAACAAAATCACACCAAAATCATTGCATTTATGCAAAAAATACAAAAAATTAGACCATGGTCCCTTAGGTTACCACAACTGGCTGCTGTAGTACAACTTTCTGTACAAATCCCAATTTTTGTTCGTGTAATCGTTTACCAAGTACTCGTAAACGATTACAAGTGTTTTTCTTGGTGCAGCACTTACAGGACTTCAACTAAGTTGTTCAACTCAACAAAATTGTTACTTATGTCTAACATGGGTACCCAAACATGATTTCTCACACTAAAATCACACTTTAAAAACAAAATCACACCAAAACCATTGCATTTATGCAAAAAATACAAAAAATTAGACTATGGTCCCCTAGGTTACCACAACTGGCTGCTACAGTACAACTTTATGTACAAATCCCAATTTTTGTTCGTGTAATCGTTTACCAAGTACTTGTAAACGATTACTAAGTGTTTTTTGTGTGCAATACTTGCAGGACTTCAACTAAGTTGTTCAACTCAACAAAATTGTTACTTATGTCCAACATGGGGTGCCCAAACATGATTTTCCACACTAAAATCACACTTAAACAACACAATCACCCCAAAACCACTGCATTTATGAAAAAAATACAAAATTTTTGACTGTGGTCCCCTAGCTTACCATAGGTGGCTCCTACAGTACAACTTTCTGTACAAATTCCAATTTTTGTTTGTGTAATCGTTTACCAAGTACTTGTAAACGATTACAAGTGTGATTTTTGGTGCAGAACTTGAAGGACTTATGCTAGGATCATGATGTCACAAGCATTGTTTCATTTGTCCATCAAATACATCAATAGTAAATCAAAGTGGTCCCTTTTATTCATTAACAATTCAAACAAAACCTCATTTGACAATGACAATAACAAAGGCAATTGAATTAAAAGTAATAATATGTAACGCAAGGAAAGATGCATCTTTTATAACATTGAACAAAATATATTTCAAATTACAAACATTTGGTCATCTATGTACAATTTTGTATTACATTCTCTTAAGAAGTCTATACAAATATCACTTATATGTTATTCTAATATGTGCAGTGTAAGGAGTCTTAAGCGCTCTGCTCTTGTAACACCTTCGTGACCCCATCTCGACAAGCGTCTTCATTTGAGGTGGATATGCCTCCCGGGAAATCAAATCCGCTGTTCATGGACGGTTCTGCACGTGGCAGACTTTGTCCATCATCCTCTGTTGTTCTTCTTCTAGCTTTCTCTTCGGCCAACTTTAACTCCAAGACAACGAACCGTCAACTGCATCAAAGACAAACAAAATATCCAAAACATAAAAAGCCCTAAAATGAAAACAACAAAAAATATAACACAACAGGGAAAACCCAAAATCCAAACAGAAATGGAGGAACAACACATTTACCTTGCTCGTTGAAGGATCATGGTTACCGAAACTTGCCATTTCGCAGAATAAACTCAACAAAGATGACTACGTTGAGTAAAACCAACCGATGCAACAAAGAGATGCAACGAAGAGCGAGAGTGAAAGCGAGAGCGAGAACGAAACGCAGAGTGAGAACGAAACGTAGATAGAGAACGACAAACAAGAGAGAAGATTAATTTCTAATGAAATAGGACAAGAGACACTTTTGGAATCACAAATTTCTGAAACCTGCAGATTTTAAATATTTAAAAAAAAAACAACCAATGGAATAGTGTCACATGGCGTTGTTAAAAGAGTGTCAAAATTTTGTTGTCAAAAATATCGGTATCTATAAACAAATTATCTACCTTATGATAAATGATTTCTGTTAAATATAAAATTATTTTAATAAATTACATGTAAAAATTATATTATGCACATAACATATGATAGAAATAATATTTTATATGATCTGTATATATAGTTTAAAAATATATAATTTATCTTAAAAACAAAAATAAATAACAAAATTTAAAACTTAAAATAAAAAAATATTGTTATAAAAACTGTGTAACGGAAAAATCAAGAGTATGGTAAAACTAACTCACACTTATGAAAATAGTTTAATTAATAGTTTAATTATTAATTAACCAGTATAAGTTTAACTGAACTTTTAAATACGACACTTTATATAGAATATTAAGTAGTTCAATTTTTTTTTTAATTTATTAAAAATACAATTAACTGTAATTTAAGTATAGTTTCTTTACTTAGGCCCAGACCTAGACATGGGAATCATGCCGAAGTTTTAGGGGTTTTTCATTGTCGAACCAACTTTCCAATTCTGTCCCACCTCCATGTTTTTGTACTTACAAAATATCAAACTCAGTTTTTCATGTTGCAAGGAGGTAGATATGACAACATTTTGGAGATTTTGAATGTTAAAGAAAATTACACTGTAAAGTTTTTTTGGTGGTTGACCCATAACAACATTGTTGAAGATTGCCTTCGTTACTGGAAACTTCCTTACTAGTTCTCTACAAACGAAGAGGTGCTCCAGGATTCTTTTAGTGAAGAGAATGTGGACGAAGTTAGTGATGTACTGATGGATCGTAAAATTATAAAATTACGTGTTACAAAAGTTAAACAACACAACACGTCATTCTATTAACAATCACACAATCAAATTTTATATAAAAAAATCTAATACTTATTTAAAAGATTTTCATATACTCACTATACCATTAAAATTTATTAAGACATAATTTTGAAAGTTTCCATATTTATGAAAAACCTTAATTTAGCTTATCATTCAATAAAATATGAGTTAAATATGTTTTTAGTTTCTAAACTATCAAGCGAATTTGTTTTTAGTTCTTCTTACTTCAAAAGTAAGGTACATTTTAGTTCTTCTCCTTAAAAAAAACTTAATTTTTAGTCCTCTCGGAAAGAAAAAAAACTAACGTTTTTTTTTAAATACACTACCTTACTTTGAAAGAGAGATTAAAAACAAATCCGCTTGATAGTTTAGGAATTAAAAACATATTTAACCCATAAAATATCACATACATTTTATTACTTTCTTACAAAAAAAGTATTTTATTTTTTCATAAAATTTTTCTTTAAAATATTTGCAAATTTAAATTTCTCTAAAATATATGTATTTATAAGTATTTATTTACATAGTTATATATATATTTATCTAAATAATTATATATATATATTATTTTTTTTCTAATTTTTTATAAATTTTGTTTATATCTATTTATAAACATACATTTAATATATATATATATATATATATATATATATATATATATATATTTAAAAAATTAATTTATCAAAATTTTTTACTTGTTTAATTATTTAAGTAGTGTATAATTAATTTTAATTTCGTTGAAATATTTATTTTTAATTTATTTAACAATCAACAAAATAAAAAAAAAGTGAAAAAAGTCAAATTTGTTCTTATCAAATTGAGTATCAACAAGATGGTTATGAGAAAAGTTACACAGAAGATCTATATGCATAAAAACTCTATGATTTTAAAATGTAAGAAAAAGAGAATTGAGTTTTATAATTAGGTATTGAATAATAATTTTGTACTGAATGTGATGAAAATATTATATTTACGAGCTTCTTAAATAAATAAACAAATATATTTAAAGATATTTCGTTACTTGAATATAATTTATTATATTTTAAAGTTGTTATATAATAAATTATTATATAGAAATATTAGATAATTAATTATTATATTATAATATATTAAAGATATAATAAAATATAATAACAAATTATCATATATAAAATATTATTTCGTAATATTTTGAAAATGTAACATAATATAATAATAAATTATTATGTTATAAGTTATTTTTCATAAATATTTGAAGATATTTCGGTATTACAAAATTCTTACTAAATATAAAGTTATATCATTTCAATAAATATAAACACAGTATATTTTCTGAAGAAATAAAATTAGATGTAGGTAAAGAAAATAACACTTTTGTTGAAGGCAGAGACATATAGTAGTTCAGAACAGTCAGCGTGTAAAGGTATCCAAACAAAAAACTATTATAAAGCTATTCAAATCCAGTTCTACTTGAACCCGACCCATATTACCCGACCCAGTTTCCCTTTCCCTCCCTGTTTTTTTCTCGGAAAAGAGCGAGCAAGAAAATTTTTACAATCAAACTCGAATTGCAGTTAAAACCCCAACAGACACACTCATTTTATTCGATTTTCTTTAATTTTCAGCAATCAATTAGTTGTGAAACTGTATGTTTGAATCCCGCGCGATTCCCTTGTTCTCTGTCTAATGTTTCTCTCCCGCGCCCTAATTCTCGAATCTCTGTATCGTCGGTGAATTGGATTCCCATGGCGGAGGAGAAGAGGGCGTCGTCGTCGTTCGTGAAGAAAGGCGACCGGCAAATGTTCACGGTGGAGCTTCGACCTGGTGAGACCACCATAGTTTCGTGGAAGAAGCTGATGAAGGACTCTAGCAAGCCTAACGGATCCAATTCGGCACCGCAACAAGTCGCAATCGCTCCGGTGAGACTTTTCTTCCATCTCGCTCTGTTTCTCTCTCGATGTTGTTTCTGACAGCACTGTCAATTGGCTGCTACGTGTGAAGTATTTTCAGCTTTCGCTGTTAGTGTTTTGCTTCGATTCTTTGCATTTTGGTGCGGTGTTGTTTTTGGATCGAATTTCGGGTTTGAAAGGGTTTTTTGTGCCAAGCTGGAGTTATTGTTCTTCGAAACTATCAATCCTAGTTGACTTTAAGTTCGTTATTTTGAATGGTGCTGTATTTGTCATTTTACCCGAATGTATGGTCCTATTCCGGTGTTTACTGGGCACGATGTAGCTAATACGAGTTGAGTAGATGTACAGTGGCATGGTTAATTTGAGCTTTTAAAGAAAAGAAGTATATGACGAGTACTAAAATGTGAACCAGGAATGTAAGAGCAATTATTCTGTAACGTGGTTCTTTTGATGTCTGTGAGGTAAACCAGTTTCGGAGATTTGGTGCTGAAATTTATTTCATTAGTTTAAGGCAATAATATTGGTTCATACGTTAATCATTCTTATTTGCATAAATTCTCCCCCTATTTAACAAACATCTGTTTTATCATACTTCAGGGGTTCTTCTGTGCATAATGATGAGCATTTTATGAGATTAGTTTTAGGCTTTCATCAATAGATACGGTTGGAGTACTTAGATCTAGTTTTAATATTTGAGAATAATCGTAAGATGTAGTGGTTAGTGGATATGTACTTGCAGTTGTAGATATGCTCTACTTCACTAGTGTCTGGCATACTAGCTTTTCTGGTTTCAAGTTCTCTTATTTTGAATTTATTTTCTTAATTCATTATGTTGTTTTGTAATTGATAGACTTTTGATACCAAATTCTAATTTCATGCTTCCGTGCATCATCCCCTTCCCACAAAATTAGTTTCCAGGCTCTTTTATATTGTATGTCATTGTAAAATCCAGCTTATTGTCATTTTGAAATTATGCATTGTCTTATGCTGCACTATTCTCAGAAGTCTCTGCCCATTTTTTTTAGGGTGAACCTGTTGATGTTGAAGAAAATGATCCCTCTCAGCCAAACCGTTTCAGTGCTGTAATAGAGAAGATTGAACGCCTTTACATGGTATTTTTTTGTTTCTTACTAGGATTTTTACTTTATGCCCTTCATCAGCAGCATGAATTTGTTTTTTGAACCTTTGGTTAATATTGTAAATGGGTGTTTAAGTATTAATTTATAGCTTCTTGTTGGGAATAAATGGGATTCCCAATTGTTTCAGGGCAAGGATAGTAGTGATGATGAGGATCTGCTCGATGTTCCTGATGATGATCAATATGATACCGAAGACTCTTTTATAGATGATGCTGAACTGGTAGGTACTTCACATATTTATTCTGTTCATTATGACCCTCTTGACCTTTTATTGCTGAGACAGGAATAGTACTGTTTTTTTGTGATGGACTTTTTGTTTTCGGATTTTTTTATGTTCTTTAATTGTTCCTTATGCAGGATGAATATTTTGAGGTTGATAATTCTGCAATCAAACATGATGGGTTCTTTGTAAATAGGGGGAAACTGGAACGCATGTAAGTTTTGTGGTTTTTGAATATAGCATTTTGTTCTTTTCAATCCACACAAGGTTAAAACAAATCATCGAAGGGTTACTTTCAACTTGCTTTTTTTTGTTTGTTGATCCCTTTTCAATGCTGAGGTGGGTCTGTTGTTATCATTTTATTGTATTTTCTTTTTAATAACCTCATCTTTTAGCTGACTGTATTTATTCATCAGTTATAGCTTTTTTGGTTTTTTAGACATCTACGAACATGCTTATCTTTATTAGTTAATATTGTCATATTAGTTTTTTGTGTTCCTAAGAAGATTGACATGAATTTTTCTTATTAGCAAACTATTTTTCCTTTCAACTGAGAAAAATTTGTAGCAATTTATTGAATATATTTTGTTAAAAATGGGAGCAAATAGGGTCTAACAACCAATCAGAAATTCTTCTTACTGATTGTTGTTTCTTTCTATATTACAAGAAATGAACCTGCTGCACTACCTAACCAGCAACCAAAGAAAAGGCGCAGAAAAGATATAATGAAGAATGGTGAAAACAATGATGGTCATGGATCAAATAAAAATGCAAAAGTTGGCAGGCCAGCATCTGGCAAAACAGCTTCACTGCACGCAAGAAATATGTTAAATTTATCTGAGAATTTGGTTGCACCTGATGAACATTATGAAGACTTGAAACTTTCAAATCAGTCAGATGTCTCTGGAATTATTTCAAAAAAGAAAGCTGTTGACACTAAACCGACATTGGACCCTTCCATCTCTTTGAAAACATCAAATGATGATATTCCTGGTGTAACAGATGCAAAAGATGCTGACAAGCAAAGGATAGGAGTTTTTCAATCTAAGAACATCAGTGATAAATGTAAAGATGGAAGTGCATTTGATGCATCTCATCAGAAGTACAATGAGAAAAGTGCTTATGCACATTCCAAATCCCAACCTGGAAGACCCCCAAATAGTATTGATGATTGTGAAAATATTATACGGACAAAAGAAAAAAGTGGTATGTGTGAACTGCCAGATCTTAACCTGTCTGAGGGGAAGTCTGCTACCCAAGCAACGGTAAGTTTTTATTTTGTTTGCTTTTCTGTGCTCCCTTTTTCAACTTTGATTTGATAAATACTTGAATAAAACAGTGATACCAACAAAAGAGGTCCTCTGCACTGTATTGCTTTCATCATTTCATTTTTTCTACTAAACAGAAGGGTTACCCCTCATGAAGTTCCAAGTGGGCTCATGTTACTTTCAACAATTGCTTTCAAAAGAACATTCTCTCAATAGAACCACTTTCCATTGCAACTAAGGGAGCAAGTTCTCTGAAACTGAGGAATTACATTGCCTGTGTTTGAGATAGCAACGAAAATGGATTATTTCAATATTCAATGTTTATACTCATTTGTTGTTATTAATTATATGAAATCAGTCGTGTTTGATTATATTAGGTGGAAAGTAATTTCAAGATAATCTATTTTGATTGCATTGCATAGAAGAATCGGTTTTCATGGTAAAATTACAAAAATGGTGTATGATGTTTTTTTTAGTAGTTGGTTTTGTATTTAAAATAATAAATTGTTGGAAAAAATGAAAGTTAAGCAAAAGAGGAGCCGATAGTGTTCAATCACATGCCTCAAAACCTTTTACTGTATAAAAAATCCTTTTCATTTTTGTATCCCTTTGATATTTACCAACAAGCCAGTTTTTGTGAGAACAGCTTTTATTCTTGAAAAAAAACTTTTTTCTTCCAAAAATATTCCAGTCCAATCCATGCTATGTGTCAGATGAAAAGAGAGATAAACTCCCCAATGGTGTGCCAATTAATAGGGCAATAGAATAAGCCTTGCTGATCCCTTTTCTTTGCATGAAGATGCTGGTAGATGTTAAGCAGTACCATGAATTAGTTCTGTACTCTTACTGCTTCTACCCAGGCTTTTGACTATTTCTCTTGGTTGTCATGAACATGATTTTCATTTGAAATGACAGTTACCTCATTTAAAGGATGTTGGCATACAGGGATGGGGTGTCTTATATTTAAAAGCAATTGAAATAACAGAGTTAAACTATCATTTTTACCAGAACATTTGAACTATAGAGATAATGATGGTTGTGCATATGAATGTCTATGGATGAAACTGTATATGTTCTATTAGTTTCTCTCTTGATCATGAACTTATTTGAATGTTGTGCAGAAATCTGAAAACATGCAGAAGAAAGAGGGTTCTAGTGTTAGGCCAAAAACTTCAATGCTTGAAAAGGCTCTTCGTGAGTTGGAAAAAATGGTTGCAGAATGTAAGATTGGAAATTAAGTTCACAATTAACATGGATAGGAATTGCGAAATGTTTCCTTCTGAAGCTAAATTTTACTTTTCTTTTAACTTTGCTCCTTTGAAACAATGTTACAGCCAGACCACCAGCAGTGGATAACCAGGATGCTGTCAAAAGGAGGTTACCTAGAGACATAAAGCTAAAGCTTGCTAAAGTTGCTAGACTGGCGGTACTGGAAAATGATACTTTCTTGGTTTTATGCTTCTGGAGATTTATACTATTTTATACTGTTTACTTGAGGACTTTGAACATTGAAATATTAATTATATGTTTTTGTCGCATCAGGCAACCCATGGGAAAGTATCAAAAGAGTTAATTAACCGTCTTATGAGTATTCTTGGCCATCTGATTCAGCTAAGAACATTAAAGGTATTGCATCCTGTTAAATATAAACGTACAACAATTTAATGTTAGTTCTTTCAGTTTCTAACTTAGTCTCCCCTCCGTTTCTTTTAGCTGACATATATAGTTGAAATCCAAAAGCTGTGTTTGAGTATGCTTGTTTCTCAAGTTCCCTGTCTATTGTTTCTGTGTTTTGTACTTTTTTTTAGTTAATTTAATTATTAGAATATCATTTAAGGCTAATAAAATATGGTTTGTGGGCATTCTTGACGTAACCATTTGCATGCTTAGTTAGGATTGTCCATTGAGAGACTTATTAATTTTGGTGATTTTCTTAGAAAAAATCCTTCAATTTTCCTTTCCTGTTTGCTTTGATGTGACTATGAAGCTATGGCAATATCATCTATTAATGTCAAAACCGTGCTGCTCATTATTTATTTTAGGAAGTCTTCTATTTTGTCCTTGCTGTAATTCTATTCTTTATTACATGTGTTTTTCGCCGTTAATACTAGGATTATGTATTTAAAACAATCCCATAATTACATGGATTTGTTCCCTTACAATTAGCTCTTCAGGCTTATGTATTTATAGGTTCAATGGCCTCATTACTGAAACATAGAAGAAATATATTATATTATTCTTTCTACATTTGAAATGGTATCAAAGCTATTCAGAGCTTATCCGAAGTCAAGATCTTTGGGGCTATTATGTCAGTGTTATGAGACTCCTATTAGACCATAAATATATAAGAATGAGACTATATATATATGTGTGTGTGTGTTATAAGTGAGTTGCAATCTTCACCTTATAAGTTGATTTTGTGATATTTAGTCATTCATAAATCTACTTACTAAAATAGTGTTTTGAGAGGGGATTCATCAGGAAGATACGATACCAAAGAGAGATGAGTCAAAATCCACATAAAAAATTGACACCACCTTCAACTCAAAACTTTAAGGCAATAGGTTTGTGGGTTTGGTTCCTTGTATGCTGCTCATCTTTTTCATTTTTACTCATATTACTTGGATTTTCTAATTATCTCCCTCTCAAGTTTGAGTCGCTTCCTTTTTGATACATCTTCTCAAGTGGAAGTATTTCTAACCATGGGTATCTTACTAGCAATCCTTACTTACACTGCCATTCGTCATAGTGGTACATACTGTCATTGAAATAGGGAGGACAACCTACAAACTAACTAGTAGTCCAATTGATTTAAACATAAGGTTGAGAAGTACAGTGGAGGATATTGCAGTGGACAAAGAAATGTATTAAAGACTTGTTGGTAGACTTATTTACTTACCTCATACTAGGCCAGACATCGCTTTTGCTGTGAATCTAGTTAGCCAATTTATGCACCAACAGAAAGAGGCTGATTTACAAGCTGCACTTAGAATTGTTCATATTTAAAAGGGACTCTAGGAAGATGGATTTCTTTAAACGAAAAGAGTGTAAGTCTTGAAGCTAATGGATGCAGATCATGCAGGGTCAGTTGTGAATGGGAGATAAACTACTGAATGCTGCAGCTTCCTTGGTGGAAACCTAGTGACTTGGAGGAGCTAAATAAATAATGTAGTTGCCATATCAAGTGTTGAAGCCTAATTTTGAGCAGTGACCCACGGAATATGTAAACTTCTATGGTTGAAGATTATATTGGAAAACTTGAAGATAAAGTGGGATGAACCTATGAGGTTATGATATGAAAATAAATCCGCAATCAATATAGCCCACAACTAGGTGCAATATGATAAAACTAAATATATTGAGTTGCAAAGACATTTTATCAAAGAAAAGGAAGACAATGGCTTGATTTGCACCTGGTATGTATCACTCAAAATCAATTTGCAGACATACTCACTAAAGGACTGAACTGGATTAACTTTAAAAGATTTATATCCAAGTTGGGAATGGAAAATACTTACTCACCAACATGAGGGGAGTGCAAAGCCCTTCTACTCATTATGGATTTTAGGAGGTTTCTTTTATTTTATCCTCGTTATAATTTTATTCTTTATCATAGGTGCCTCTTGCCATTAATACTAGGATTATGTATTTGAAAATAATCCCATAATTACCGGAATTTGTTTCCTTAGAATTAACTCTATATTTCCTAAAATAACCAACAGGCTCATGTATTTATAGGTCCAATGGCCTCATTTTTGAAATATAGAAGAAATATATTATTCTTTCTAAATCTTAGACTTAAAAAGTCATAATACTTTGTAAACTTTTAATTCAATTAGAACTGTCTTCACGAGTACTAAGAATTTCACCTCTAATTTATCTTGCTTTTTTTTTAATCTTATAGTATCTTGATAATTTTCTTAACTGATATTTGTTGACTTTATTCACTGTGGTTTAGGTATATTTAGGTCTGTGAAACTACTTATCTTCTCATACAGTGTTTTTCTACTGCAGAGAAACTTAAAAATAATGATCAGTATGGGCCTGTCAGCAAAGCAGGAGGAGGATAATAGATTTCAACAAATAAAGAAAGAAGTTATTGACATGATTAAGATGCTGCCCCCAACTTTTGAATCCAAGGTTTAGTGTAGTTTCACTTGCTTTTGCTTCCTTTATCATATATCGGTAAACTGGCTTACATGCGTTGTATTTTCACTGATGTTGAATTCTGATGAATTCACAATGTCTAGAATATGTAGCTTGAGATTCTTTAAATTGTTGTTTTTGTTAGAATAATTAGCTGTGTGAGTTGTGTATTAGTTGGGTGTGAGTCGTGTGTGAGGTGTATTCCATTGTTATAATCCCATAAATAAAGGATGAAGAAGGGTGATATAAGCTCTTCACTTATCTAATGTAGATCCTCTCTCTTCTTAATCTCATCATGGTATCAAAGATGGTTGTTTGAGTTTCTTCCAGCATTGTCTTTGCTGCCGCGATGACTGGCGGCTGTCCTAAGAATTTTGTCCTTCAACACTTGTATTTGAGTACCTTAGTCTTGCTCTCCTAATTTCAGTTCACTGCAGTGCCTCTTTCAATGTTGTCCACTGTTCGCTGCCATTGTCCACCACCGTTCGCCATCAGTTATGTCTTGACAACTGGATTTGTTGCGCACTCTTGAAGACGGGTCATATATTTTAGGAGGAGTCTGTTTGGCTATGCTGGTTTATGAGTCCAATTTGGTTTATAGATATTCTCTCGATGGTTTGAAGCCTATGTGCATCTTGTTCTAAGCCGAAGTTCCAAGTTTATTGTCTCATTCGAGAAAAGTTGATTTTGTTGTATCAAATGACCAACTTAGATATGTGTTGACCAAGTTCTTAATGAGATCTCGGATTGAGTTTATTTATTCCAAGTTTGATACATACAATTTGTATGCTTCAGTGTGAGGGGGAGTGTTAGAATAATTAGTTATGTGAGTTGTGTATTGGCTGTGTGTGAATTCTGTATTAATTTGGTGTGAGTTGTGTGTGAGGTGTATTCCATTGTTATAATCCTATAAATAAAGGATGAAGAAGGGTGAATATAAGCTCTTCACTTATCTAATATAGATCCTCTCTGTTCTTAATATAGATCCTCAACAGTTTTATCTGTCACCATCATGTGATGTGTTCTTTGGTGTGTTTAGCATGTTCATCGTTGTAGCCTTTGTGGTTCATCATTGTAGCCTTTGTGGTTCATCATTATTGTTTATGTCCCCTCATCACAATTCGTATTATTTATCCTGTTATCCTTTTTCTGGTTGCTCTTCCTATGGATCATTGGAAAGGGATTTAATCAGTTTTAGTTATGATACTCATATTTGTGTTTTCTTTCTGCATCCTTTTATGTTTGCACTTATATTGACATTCACTTATATGTTTGCTCAACTGATATTTTGATAATTTAATTTCGAACACATGGTGTTTTTGGGCACTTCAGCAGCAGCAGAAAGGTGAAGCATCTGGTGATTTTCAAGAATTTGGTCCTGATGGAAAAACAAATACAAAAAGAAAGTTTGCCATGGATGCTGCATTGGAGGACAAGATCTGTGATCTCTACGATATTTTTGTCGATGTATAGATTTCATTTATAGATATTTATCTTGAAATTCTTGGTTGTGATAAAGCTTTCTTATTGAACCTTGCTTGTGATTGCTGTAGGGGTTGGATGAAAACGCAGGTCCACAGATCAGAAAGTTGTATGCTGAGGTGGTTCAAATTTTCTAAACCTTCCTCTCAATACTGGTTTTTCAGAGCTACTGGGTTGCTTGCATTGTATTTTTTATGCTGAGGATCAAAAAGTCAAATCAACTTGGTTTTATGATTAAAATGTTTGCAATTTTTTCTTGAGAATTTATTAGTATCATGAATATACATTCAGGGAACTTTTCTTGACTACCACATTTTTTCCCAACAAACAACTCTCGTCTTTCAGTGGCATTAGTTCCACTTAATAGTTAATATGTGTTTAATTTTTGTTGTGACTTGTGTGAAGTTAATCTGTTTTCTTTCTATGAACAAATATATATTTTCTTAACTTTTAATTTTCTTGTCTCCAGCTTGCAGAACTATGGCCCAGTGGTCACATGGACAACCATGGGATCAAACGTGGAATTTGCAGGGCAAAAGAGAGGCGCAGAGCACTGTACAACAAGCATAAGGTATGGCTTTTGCAGTTAATAATGATTTTTGTATTAGGGGAGCATTATTGAAACCTCACTTTCTCTCCATAGAAGATTGTCTGTGGTCTAAGCTGTAAAATCCTATATGGTAGAGATATGCTATAAGGAACTTTGGAGGAAATTATTAAAAGTGATCTCAGTGAATAGTATCCTAGAGAATTTGGTTTTTAATCCTTGCTACTGGTGTTACCTAGGAGGATAAAGCTATTGTTCTTGTTGTATTGGAAGTTTTATAAATGATTACCCATAGAAATTAGTAATGAACATCATATAGGCAGTGGAAACTTCCTTCACCATTTTCATTTCATGGTATTCTATTTCAATTACATCTATCTTCTCTACTGGAAGGACATCGCTTTTCAAACTATAAAGTTGATGTTAATTCACACAACTGAGACTGTTCAGGCTTACAAAACTAGGTTGCTCCAAGGATCATGTTTCTTTTTTCTCATGATGCTTCCAAAGTTTTGATTTCCTTTAGTTTCTCTTCATTGTTCATACTGTATACTTTCTCTTAGAGAGTAAGTTTACACCTGATTCAATCCTACAAAATCAGTTTGTGAGCACCCATTTATATACTGAGGATTAGGTATCTTGAGCATGAAATTACATTTAGGTGGTTCAATAGTGATGACATGATAGATCCAACAAAACTTGCTTAGATTGATTTTGATATCATCTTAGAAAGTAAATTTAAATCTAATTCAAACTTATAAAATTGATTTTGAATGAGGTTTGTATTTACTTATATATACACTATAATTTTGGTCATACTTCTAGCTAGCGAAGGATCTAAAACTTTTCACAAACATAACATGAAAAAAGAGGACATTGTCATGGTATCTTTAGTGGATTTTAGGTTTTAAAAATTCATTTTCTTCATTTGATAGGGAGAATAATTGATCGAACCTTATTAAAAATGAAAGAATAACATTTGATTCTTTTTATGCCCAGATGATCATCGGGATTTCATATTGATTTTGATCTCATGGGTTTACTTGGTTGCTGTCAGGACCAGGAAAAAATTAAGAGGAAAAAGTTGCTGGCACCTAAGCAAGAGGAGAACGTTCGATTTGATGCCAATTCAATTACTTCACAACAGAACCTGCGAGAGAGATCAGCTCCTGAGTCCAGCAGTCATGGTTTTACTTCAGGGAGCAAGCAAGTTTCTAATGCAAGTCCAACTGGCCGGGTACCCAGTCCAATAAATGGTCTAAAACAAGAAAAAGCAAAGGGAAGTTCAAGCAGTTCCCTGGATGATGTCAGGGCTGCAGAAGGTGTGCTAACAAAGAAGGTAAAGAGAAAACCAGAACTCGAGTTAGAAGCACAGTTAGTTGCTGAGAAGGTGGCTTCCTTGCAGGGAGAAGAAAGGCCCAGGTCCCTAAAGCAGCAGTCCTCAGGGCCACTTGCCAACAAATCAAATCTTCAGCCAACATCTGTTCCTGATCTTCAACATTCAAGCTAACTTGATATCATGTAGGTTTAGAGGTTTACCAAGCCAATGTCCCTTTATTTTTTTTTCTTTTCAATTTCCTTCTTATCCCCTTCTCTATCAAATAGTTCCCTTCCTATCATTTTTGTAATTATATATCCTTGCAATGTTCTTCCAAATATAGATAGATTTATTGTTGTTAGTGATATTGGCCAAGCTTCTTATTTGGCTCTTACGCTTCTCTAAGGCAATTGTTCTTCTCTACTCATGCAATTTTCGGAAGTTAACCATGCTTAACATGAATTCATAAACGTGTTGTGTAGAGAAAGTTACATTAGCCTACTTCCAAACCAAATATTATTTAGTTGTGAATACAGTTATTTTAGAAAATAACTGTATTCTGAATATGTTTTGATTTTAATATATTACATTTTATTAAAAAGTTAAATGAATAATGTTATTAGTATATGTAAACGTATGAAGTAGAAATAATAAATTTGTTTGGATTGAGACGAGGGCAGAAATAAAAGTAAAGAAAAGAAAAATGGTGGAAAGAAAAATTGTTTAAACTAATATGGATGATATGAGTACTACTTACACAATTTTATATGTTTCTCATGCCCATTCCGCTATCCACACGAATGTCTATTTAGAAATTACTAAGAAATTTTTCATCTTCAGTGTCCGTAAAAAATTATACACTAATATTTCTTAAAAAAGAAAAATATTATGAAATAAAAGAAATATTAACAAGATTACGGTCAGCTTTGCACATCTAATCTTACACATATTATTGCAAATTTATAGATTAAAGAGTAATGAAAATACTCACTTTAATTATTCTACCAATTTTCCTAAAACAAATTAGTTTAAAGACTCAAATTTGTTATTTTTCTTTCAAAAAATAACTGTATATAATTTTTATACTTATGGTAAAAAACTATTAAACTTATCTAAATATTATTTTCTCTAAAATATAAATAATTTCAAATAAAACTACACAAGCATACATTTTCTATAGACGCTGTACAACAAAAAATATTTAAATAACTTTTAATTATTATTAACAGTATCCCTATGTAAATAACTACGGACACGTTTTTTATTTTAACTTTCTTTTTCTCGTAAATTTGCAGATCTTACATATAATATTACTTTTTTTCTCTTTATCTGAGCCCTTAATAAAAAAATAACTTTTTTTTGTGATCTATTATAAGAATTGTTTTCATGAATATTAGAGGATAAAGTTTAAAGGTGATAAAAAGTAATAATTACATTTTAGATTAAAATGTTTTGATATATATAATTAAAAATATTTTATTTGTATTTTTTAAATATCATCCCTACAAATTCTAATTCACTTTAAGTTCTTTTTATATTATTTAAATAATTCACTTTTTTTTTTTAAGTTCACAGGTCAGAAAATAATTGAGATTTGATTTGAGATAACCTTTTGTTCAATTAGTTTTTTAAATTCTGCCCATGTGATATTTACTGTAATATACTAATTTAAGCATTATAAATATTGTTGTTTGTTATATTTGATTTCTTAGAAGAAATATGTAAGATTTATGGCATCTTCAACTTATTCTATTATTTAAAAAGTAAGTTTGTTTGAAGAGAAAAAAATTATGAAATGCAACAACTTATAATCCTACAATGAGTCATATATATAGAATGGTTAATTTATATTTGGTTTCGTGAGCAAGCCATCACAAGGACTGGACAGTCAAATAGGTGAATTAATCTGTCACTAATTAGAACAATTAATCTTAAGTTAAAATATAATTATTTATAATTAGATCGTAACTAAATCGTTATTAATTAAAAAATAGTTGATGGTCTCGTCGCCAACAACAACGACTGTAATAATAGAGACGACATTTTTTTTTCCTCAAAAGAACCTTAGACTCTAGATCTCATGTTAAATATAGTAAAAACTATGTATGTGATTAGTCTCTCTTGTGTTGAATATATACATATGACATTGTATTTATAATAGAAGAAATAATAACAAACAAACTAAAGATAAAAAATAAAGATAAGATAAAAATAATATATCTAACATGCTCAATTTCAAAGAAACATCCAATGCTTCCTGGTGAGACATGTTTCTCACTATATCTTTCTCTCCTCGAGACAATTTGAAAGATACCTTAACACCTAGATGAAGTTTGGTGCCAAGGATGCCCTCGGTTAGAGGCCGAAGGAGCTGTTGTCCTTGCCACTCTTCTTGTGAGAAGAAGAGGACTTCTCACCTTGACAATGAGACTTCCTCTTTCCCTTTTCTGCTTCACAACCCTTCTGCAGATCGGCATGGGTGATTGTCATTGGTGTAGGCTCAAGGGCAGGATTTGTCTAGGCTGGTGGAGGTTGCTTAGGTTGATGTTCAGAGGCAAGAGGACCGGGGACTTGCCGTTGTGTCACCTCAGCGGTAGTTAGGCAGGCAAGTGTTTGAGCACCAGAAGTAAAACGACTCGTAGGCTGAGTGCTCGAAGAATTGGCGCCAATATCACCATCACCATCAACCACCTGTCGAGTGCCTATTCTCTTGAAAAGATCCTTTAATTTTAGATTGCGAGAAGTCATGATTTCTAAAAATTAAGAGAAAACTAGCATGTTAACACTGAGCAATCATCAAAAATTGATAAAGAAAGTTTACCAAACACCTCATTGCAGAGGTTAACCGATCCACGACACATGACAAGCTGTTAGGAACAAAGGTGGCGAGGAAACTTGTCAATGAGTTCCATTACTTCCACCTCATTTGTTGTCATCATCAACTTGTACCATGAAGTTATTTTCCTTGGACTCTTTGTCCAGCACAAAGGAAATTTGGGTTGACTGACCTCATAAAAAATCTTAGGCCAACCTGTCTCCATTATTCCCACCTTGAAGTACTTGATCTTAAATCCCTTAAAGGAGGTAGTGAATAGGAAAATAACCATCTTCATTGTTCAGATATTAGGGAGACCCAACCTTTCTCGGTGTTGAAGCAAGTGCGAAAATAATGTAGAAATATGGGGAATGGGAGTGAGGCTTAGGGCCGAGCAAAGCACCTCAAATACTTGTATCCAAGCCTGGTTGTTCAGCTATAACTAGGTAGGCACCACATCAAGCTTCCGCAACACACCCATTTGAAATTCATTGAAAAGAAAACGAATGAATAAGTCATTAAAGAGACAAACATACATGAAGAAGAAGTCTGTAGGACAACTCCCTTTCCTATGATATACCTGCTCATTCCCCTTACACACGATCAACTTGAACATCTAGGCAATCTTTGTAGACCCAACAAAGCAAGTCCGCTCGACCCATCACCTCAATTGGCCTTCCATACGAAAGCATGTCACATATTCCTCAACTTAATGGGATTCCCAGTCATAACCTGGAATGACCAGGAGAGATTGAATGACCATATCCCCCTCATTAGCAACATTGATTTACAACTCAACGATGGCCTCAACCTTGTCAATAGGTATGACCTTGTTGGTGTCTACATTGGCCATGCTGTTGACCGAATCCGTGTCTTGTTCGGTTGATCCCAAAAGAGAAGAGGTGATAGCCAATGACACCGACGACGAAGAAGCGTCGTTCACATACCCTCAATCGCTCCTTCCTTTAGACTCCTCAAACAAAGATAGTTAGATGACCAACATTATTACTTGAAGTTTGAAGAATGATCGGTTGGCAAAAGAAAGTATGACCAAAGGTGAAAATGACAGACGGGGCCCACCCCTATTTATAACCATGAAGGCCTCCCTTGCCAATCACCTTCAATCGTTAGATCAAGCCATACCTAATGGCTCACAGTGTTCGATTCTTCGAATTCTGATAGACATGAGATTCAAAGCGCTGCAATTCTCCCCTTAAAGGTCATATTTTTGAATAGTTCAAAAAGCATCCAACAGGCAAGTCGAACAGTCTGGAAGCTCCCCAAGCGAACGACCAAAGATCGTATTCCCCACCAAAACAACATGAACAACTAACACTATTCATCCAAATATAAACCCATTCACTAGTGATTTCAGGCTCGGGCTTAGAGTGCCTGTGTATCGTATAACCGTTTGGTCAACCACAGACTGGACGGTCAGTCCCCATTTGGATCCATGAGCAAGCCACCATACGGACCAGATGGTCAAGAAGGTGAACTGATCGATCATTGATTAGGACAATTAACCCTAAAGCTAACCAACTTAGAGGTAAATTGTAATTACCGACACTTGGACTATAATTAGGTTTGAGGTAAAGAGGTAGGTGATCTGCATGCACCATTGATATTTGAATGTTCAAGTATTGAGTTGATTTTGGTATCAAAATGCCTTATGCAAGTATCCTCCGAAGGGTTTGGACAAATTACGAAAAGACTAGGATTTTGAGACAATTTTTGAACTCTAAACCACTCTTATAGTATTAAATAGTTGACCTCCTTCCAAAACTTTAAGTAAGGAAGATTAACTTAAATTATTCTATGAAAACTGTAGGAAAGAATCTTCGGATGTAGAATATTTATGTTGATGATTTAAAGTTGTGAAAGTTGATTGACAGAGATGTTAGGTTGTTGGAAATTGAAACTTTAACGTATTTATGGTTTGATGTGAATGCTTGTGATGAATAAAAATGTATTGAATTTGTAATTGTTACCGATTGTAATAATCTTGTCATATGAAAACTAGTTCTTAATTGTTTTTTAAGTTTTAAGAGTTGGAACCAAATGAATCAAAATATGCTTTATTTTGAATAGAATTGATAAAAAAGAAATGGTTTTAGATTATAACAATGAGTTTTGATCAATTTGAAAATTTGTGTGGTGTGCTAATATATGAATCTCGAACAACATTAAAGAAATGAACATCAAATTTTGTTTTAGAGGTTCCTTACTCATCGCTAAAGAGATAATGTTCAATGCTTTCAATTCGTATTTTGAGTAATAAATAAATCAATTCAAATTCTTTTGGAAATTATGGATGGTTGCTTAAGCGATTAGGAGAAAAAAAAATCTATCTTATAAGAGTGTAATGCTCAAATCTAAAATGTTTACTCAATCTACGATGTGATGATTTATCATTTGAATATTTGAGTGAGTAACCAAATCAATTCTCTTTTTCTGATAAAGAAAGTCACTCAAATAGTGATAGCTCCTTAAATAATATTTTCTTGTGTAAAATTTAATTTCACTTTTCATGAAAATAGTTGATGTGATTTTGTGTAAGATAAATACCAAGATTATAATTTCACCTATTTTGAATATTATAAAATTAAATAATGAAACAATTATGAGAATAAGATATGTTGTCCACTACATCCGAAACAAGTCGTATTGCTAACAACATTGCTAACATGCAATATGTGATGACGAATAGTAAACATATTTTCAAGAAAATTAGAAAGAAAATACTAATAAAATTAAGAATTAAAAGATAAAAATAAAAATAAAAAATAGAAAAAAAAGTAAACTCAGAAAGAAAAAAACAAGTGACATTAATTTCATGTTTTATAGAAAGGCAATGTCCATCAAAATCAAAGAAAAGGACATCCAAACCCATATATTCTCATTCTCAAAGTGCTTCTGCGGTTGTTTCTGTTATTGAAGTTCCATGATGGCTCGCACTGTCTGCACGTGCCACATGGTGTTCTCCGCCGACCGGATTACTCCGACCGTCGTGTCTGTGTTCTCTGGCATTGACAACATCAGACTGTTGCCTTTCCGCTTCCAACTTCGAAGGAACACACACCTCCTCACTGCTCAACTTTCCAATTCTTTCTCCAATTTCGGATTTCATTCTCACTCTCAGGTTTCTTTCACTTACTCCTCCTTTCATCTTTCCGCTTATTCACAAAGTTTAAGTGTTAAATTGAACCCCCATGTGCACAAAACATAAATATTTGACTACCCAATTCTGTTTTGTGAATAAATCGTCTTTTTCATATTAAGGGTTTATACTCATGCATGAATTCACCGTTGCAAACTTTTGTTGCCATGTAGTGATATTACTTTGTTTCAAATTTTTAAATGTTTTTGTTTCCATTTTGCAGTGTTTGAATTCCGTTCAATCGCATGTTCCATCACGGTTGCCTTGGATGGGTCCATTTCCGGGTGATATTGCTGAAGTGGAGGCATATTGTAGGATCTTTAGGAATTCTGAAAGGCTTCATTCTGCTTTAGTGGATGCCTTGTGTAACCCGATCACTGCCGAATGTAGTGTTTCCTATGAGGTTCCGTCTGACGAGAAACGGCTTCTAGAGGATAAAATAGTATCTGTCCTTGGATGCATTGTGGCCCTTGTGAATAATGGGAGGCGGGATCTTCTTTCTGGAAGATCATCGATTGTGACTCCCTTTCGTGCTGCAGAGGTTGGTGTGATGGAGGATACACTTCCCCCACTTGCCCTTTTCAGGAGCGAGATGAAGAGGTGTTGTGAGAGCTTACATGTTGCTCTTGAGAACTATTTAGTTCCTGGTGATGATCGGAGCTTGGATGTGTGGAGGAAACTTCAGAGACTGAAGAATCTGTGCTATGATTCTGGCTTTCCTCGTGGGGAGGATTGTCCATGTCCTTCGCTGCTTGCGAATTGGAGTCCTGTGTGCTTATACACTCCCATAGAGGACATGGAATCCAAAGAATCTGAAGCAGCTTTTTGGACAGGCGGGCAGGTCACGGAGGAAGGTCTAAAGTGGTTACTTAATAAAGGATATAAGACCATCATAGATCTAAGAGAAGAAGATGTAAAAGATAGCTTCTATCAAGCAGCTGTGCATGATGCTATTTCATCTGAAAGTATTGAGTTGGTCAGGATCCCTGTTAAAGATGGGACTGCACCTACGATGGAACAGGTTGAGAGGTTTGCATCTTATGTTTCAAATTGCAGTAAAAGACCAATTTATCTTCATAGCAAGGAAGGAATTTGGAGAACATCTGCCATGGTCTCTAGATGGAGGCAGTACATTACTCGTACTACATCAGAGCTTGTTTCTAATCAAGCAGTTATTTCCAATGTCGTGTTATCAGATTCCACAAATGGATCTGGAAAAATGGAGGACTCAATGATTGCCGAGGGGTCCTTCCAGGAAAAGGATACCAATTTGCTGCTCGAGGGTGCAACACATGGTTCTGCTGCCTCATTTGACTCATGTAACTCTTCAAAGACGAATAATGAAAAACCAAAAAGCAATGGGGGCATAAGTCAACTTACTCCTGATAGTAGGGCCTCATCACAAGTCACTGGTGCTTCTGGGGAAGGATCTTTTCCAAGTTTCTCCAGTAAAATTAACCCTTTAGAAGCTCAAATTCCTCCTTTTGATATTTTTTCCAAAAGGGATATGTCCACATTTTTGGGAAGTAGGAAGATGTCAAAACCCTCTTATTTCAGTTATCAGGTTAAAAGAGTGGAATGTCTGCCAGAGTCAAGGAGCTTTGAACCTAAAATTGTGGGCCGAACGAAAAACTCCAATGGGTCGGCGAGTATGAGTAATTCCCATTCTGCTTGGACAACAATTAATGGGTATAGTGAGGGGGAAATGAATTACAGGGCTGATGCCAATATCTCTACTACTGTGAACAGTGATATTGATAATGTGAATACTAACTCCGAAAGGACGGGAGATGATAAAGATAAGGCTAGGTTAGCCTTACGAGATGAAGACTTGGGGCTTATTGAAGGAGACATGTGTGCATCATCAACTGGGGTGGTAAGGGTGCAGTCGAGGAAGAAAGCAGAGATGTTCTTAGTACGGACGGATGGATTTTCTTGTGCAAGAGAGAGGGTGAGTGAATCCTCTTTGGCCTTTACTCATCCCAGCACCCAACAACAGATGCTATTATGGAAATCTATGCCAAAGACTGTTTTACTGTTGAAAAAGCTAGGAGGGCATCTCATGGAAGAAGCTAGAGAGGTAGTATTTTCCTTTTCTTTCCACCTCTAAGAATCGTTCCAGCCATTAAAATTTGATTTTATTTTGTTTCCAATGGCCCAGATAGTTCTAACAATGAAGTTTAGGTTTGAATTTGTGTTTTGGTTACATAGGGACAAGTCCTTTAGTTGGGAGGGGAGAGGCATTTAGAGGTGGGCTCAGCTTAGTTGCTATGTCTCTATGAAGGAAGGACCTTAGTGACAACAATTTATTTGACAAGCATTGACGTTCCTTTCATATGTACTCTTTAATTATATCTTTGCTCAACCTTGCATATTCATTTATCCACTAGTTTGAAGAATCATAAGTATGTGGAGATTCATTTAGTCCCAAACTCCTTTATAAGGGCTTAATCAAGGTTATCAGATTCAAGAGTCTACAAAGGCTCATGGGAGCTATGTAGACTCAACTTGTAGATTCGCTCATAAGCCCAAATCGTAAACTCTTGAGAGTGTATCTCATAAAACATAACACCATAATTAATCAAAATAGTAAACAATAGTTTTGAAATTCTAAAATAACCAAGTTTAACACACATGACTACGGTGTAAGTTCAAACCTCACCAAATAAATAAGTTCATATAATTGTAACACATACATTCTTAAGGTCATGACAATGAAATATCTAATAGTAGAAAAATATCTTCAAATTTTTGGTCTCCGATCCTCTAATGGCGTAATCTCGCAGATCATCCATCATTTTTATTGCCATCTAGCTCTTCCTCAAATGACAAGTGTGCATCATCAACATTGACTTTAAAAACTATATCATGAAGATCAAGTGCATTAAGGGTTGGAGCATTTGAAATTGGTCCAGCTAAGTCAACAATTCCATCATCACCTTCACCTTGAGCTTGCTCAACCTCAACATTATTTGTCTCTTTCGTTATCCATTCATTATTAGACTCAATATCATCAAGTGGGAGATCAACAATTTTTCTTATTTGTTTACTTTTTAGGTTCAAGTTATTCATGATAGAAACCAAGTCATTTATCTTTTTCTAATGCAAATGGTTTCTTTTTTTGTATGAACCTATGAATAAATATGAATTTTTAAAAATTGAATAAATAAATAAAATTTAAAACCACAAATAACATGATAAACTTGAATTACCATTTCAAATGAGCGCTAGTTATGCTCACACCTATAAAAATTGCAAGTCAAACTCAACTTGAATAACAAATCTTTTCAATTCTAGAGTTCCATCTCCCACCATTCTCTAGGAAGCATAACTTTCCTACAATCTTTTTGCATCTCCCATAGAAGAAGTCCTCTAGCATAATGGAAGTCAATAAGTTGTAAATTAATTCTTTTTCCTTTCTTCGACCTCCTTGACCAATCTTCTCATGCATATATATACAACCCCTCTTTCACCATAGGATCATCGTTTATGAAATGAGGTGGATAGTGCGAGTAGGGATTAAGGTAATATGTAGTTGCATGCAAAGGCCTATGAAGTTGATTATTCGACCTCATATCAATGATTTTCTAGACAAGTTCTTAACTAGATAAATATTGAATTTTAAATAAGAAAAGGTTTATAAATTTTACCTTTTCTTAATATTATTAAAGTTAAATTTTAATCTTCTTCTTTTGTACAACCCATCTTCTCATGTGAAATCCATTGCAAGTTTTATATCCTGATCCACTAATGAAAGGGCCATGATAAGAGGGGCAACAACACAACTTTGAGGTAAGTGGTTGCATTCTTCCAAAATAGACTGCCTAATAAAACATTCTTCTCCCTTCAATTTTTGAAGTTCTCAACTTTCTTGTTTACCATTCTTCAGAGCTAAACAAGCTCATCAATGATGCTTTTAATTCATGAAGACATGCTAGAGTCAAATAACATTGATGCTCCGAATTAACTTGGCATGCTGCCAACACTAACCCTAGCTAGTGGGTGGATGTGTAGGCTTTTGGGCGTTTGTAGCCATGATCATTGTTTGGCTGCAGCGTTTGTGTGCTAAAGGCACGTGGTTGGAGCAAGTTCACTTATATTGTTGAAATTGGGGTGCAAATTTGGAATCTTTGGTGTGGGTGGCTGGCTGATTGGAGGGAGGGTTGCTGCTTGGTGAAGCATAGGATGCCAATGTTATTTTTGTTGGAGAGAAAATAGTTGACGTAAAATTGTAACATTATTGTCATAAGGTGGTTGGTGCACATGATGAGACTGAGGGCTTTTTAGCTCAAGTGGTAGAGCCTATGGTGGAGCCTATGGTGAAGCTTATGATGGAGTCTATGGTGGAGTCTTTTATGGTGCAACCTGTTGTGGTACAACCTGTTGCTTAGTCACAACCTGAGCCAATGGTGGTTAATTATGATAATATTTGTGTTGTGAATGGGTATTCTCTTATTAAGAATCTAGATGGTGGTGTGCCAGTAAAATCTGATTCTTTGGGTGGTTTGCCGTCTTTGGAGGATGTCACTCCCATTATTAATAGTTTGCAGAAATTACAACAATTAGATTCAACTCATAGTAGTTCAAAGGCAATTCCACATTCTTTGACATTTAAGGAGACTCGTTTTGTGGAAGAATTGAAAATATCTTCTTAATGGGTTAGTATGCTTGATGAGAGGAAAAAGATTCTAATACTGAAAAGGATGATGGGTCGATTCAAACTACAGGGAAACCTGGTAGGGGTAGGTAAAAGAAAGTTAATACTAAATCCTTCAAAGCAAAACTTCTAAAAGTTAAAGTCCTTTTTTGGAATGTGAGAGGATTGACTGATGATAAATTTTTTAATATGCTGAGGAATTTTCCTTTTTTATGGTGTATGGAGTTCAAAGTATGGAATGATTTTCGTGAATGAAATCATGAGTTTTTTTTCATAATAGGTATTTTTTTCCTATGTGTGATGTAATTTTATCATGGATTTGGTGTGGTCTCCCAATGTTTTTCTTCTTTCTCTTTTTTATTTTTTAATAAAATTTAAGCTTATTTGGAAAATGCCATACCTTATTTATCTTCCTTGTGGGAACTTCTTCAACATGCTGATTAGCATTGCTCTACCATAAATGTAGGTGGTGATCCTTCTTCCCTTCTTGATGGGAAGTTGATAGACCTTTAGATGCTTCTCAAAATCTTCAAAGATCAATCAATGCCATGGGCATGCCCATGGAGTCCAATACAAATGTTTCTGTTTTTGCATCAACCATTTTCCAACTGTTTTGAAATTTGCAGCATTATCAGTTGCCACTTTCACCACATTCTCCTCTCCAACAAATTCCACAACATCATCCAATATTTTAAACACTTTATTTGTGGTTTTTGGATGTCCGAGGCATCCAATGAATAAAGAAACACAATTTCTTTAGGGCTGTTATCAAAAGGTTACAATTTGAACATCCTTTTCTATTTGTGTGCCCATCAAACATAATTGTGCAACATGTTCCCACTCCTCCCTATACTCTTCAAGTATTAAATCGTTTTTTTTGCATTGGTTGTTTCAAAATATTTTCTCTAACATAAGATGGAGGTTTATAGCCAACATCATATCTTTCAATCATCTCATATTTTTCCAAAAGTTGGATTTTTAATAACATTGAATGGAATGACAACTGTAGGAAAATTCAGCAACTTTAGAATAAACTTTCTTTGTCCCGTTTTTGTTTGTACAATTTATTTAAATTAGTTTGAACACCATGACTATATTTTTCCTTTCTTTTATTTTTGAGCATTCTACTATTACTTTGAGTGGCAACCACCCCTTCACTCTTCATATCATCAAACTCTTCGATGCTATTCAACCTTCATTTATTCATTGATGGTTCCTTAGTCATCTTTACAATTTTAACTTCTTTTGGCATCGAGGCACAATGTTCAGAATCATATCTAGTACTGTAAGATGATGCTTGAATACAAAATTTCCTCCATTGAATGCCTTTGAGCAATAGCTATATTTAACTATTTTCTGTTGTCCAAAACATCTACTCCATGATTCCATCCAACATATGTCCTATTTCCTACAACATTTTTCTAAGTCTAGGAAGTGAAGTGCTTCTATATATTGGGATCATAATAATTTGAACTGGTTTCACTTTCAGACATTGTAAAACTTTTGCGACTAAACATGAAATAGAAAAGAAAAAGAAAAAAAATTAGTAACTAACAAAATAGATCCAACATAAAGGAAAATAAAATAAAAGAAAGAAAATGGATGATAGGAAATGTGGTAAGTGGGAAAAACACTCTCACCTCTTTGGAGAGATGAGATGTGATTTGTCTTAGAAGAGAACAATGTTGGGGAAAAGCCACATGACAACGATTGAAGACATCATGCAGAGAAGATGCAACTATAGATGCTTTTCATAAATGTGACTTGATGACAATGGGGAACAAGGTGTAGAGAAGACGTGAATGGCACCAAATATGTGACGTGAAGTGGTGGTGGCTAGAGAAGAAGCACAAAACGTAGGTATGCTTTCTATTAGAGAATCACTGACCCAACCTATTGTTCTTTACAATGTGGTTTTCAAAGCGTGAATAACAACATTTCGTCTTGACTTTGTGCCAAATCACAGACTCAGTAACTCAAACTTTGTCTCATGAGTCTACCATTAGTGAACTGAGTCCACGAGTGAGCCGAGTCTACCACAAGCGAACTAAGTTAACCATGGGTAAACTAATTTCCATGGTGTCTTAGTACACACTTTCAGCCCAACATGTCTCTGTTTTCTCTTTAAAATGTTCCTTACATAGCAAAGGAATCAAAATTAGGAAATAAATCTTCTTGTGAATGTATGCACTGGGGATTGGGTAATATTATTCTGAGCCTAATTTGGTATTCTGACACATTTGTGCTTAGTGATTCTTTTGGGAACTATATATTGGTTCTGAATTTCTTATAACTAGTTTGGTTAAATTCATTCTCAGTAGAGTTTCTGTATCTAATCTGCAGGTTGCTTCTTTTCTGTATTACCAAGAGAAAATGAATGTATTTGTGGAACCAGATGTGCATGATATATTTGCAAGCATTCCTGGGTTTGGATTTGTCCAGACCTTCTATAGTCAGGATACTGGGTACTGGAGTTTGTGAATTTATGTGTAACAACTTTACCTTTTCCCACTATATAAAATTTGTGTTTCATTAAATTGTTGATTAATATATCTAATACCTATGGTTCAGTGATCTACACGAGAAAGTGGATTTTGTAGCCTGTTTGGGGGGAGATGGTGTTATACTGCATGCTTCGAATCTGTTCAGAGGTGCTGTTCCCCCTGTTGTGTCATTTAACCTTGGTTCTCTTGGTTTCCTGACTTCTCATAATGTAAGCCTTTTAAATCCATCATTTATTTCACCATAAAGAAATGTTGGTATCTTTTTGGCCATGCGTTTGACTGCTATTCTTTTTTCTAGTTTGAAGACTACAAGCAGGACTTAAAACAAATTATCCATGGTAATAGTGCACAAGATGGAGTGTACATCACTCTCAGAATGCGTCTTCGATGTGAAATTTTTCGAAACGGTAAAGCTGCACCAGGGAAAGTATTTGATATTCTCAATGAGGTTGTTGTTGATCGGGGTTCTAATCCATACCTGTCAAAGATTGAATGTTATGAACATGGTAGACTTATAACAAAGGCATGTTTGATTATGTAATTGTTATTTGCACACCAAATTTCTGTCTTTTATATTTGGTGATGAGAGCTTTTAGTATCTTTAAACACCTTTAGGAAGCAGTGTCATTCATTCTATACGATCATTGTCATGTCTTTCAGGTACAAGCTGATGGAGTCATTGTAGCAACCCCTACTGGAAGCACTGCCTATTCTACAGCTGCTGGAGGTTCCATGGTAAGCTTGAGCTTGAGTTCTTTACAAGCATGGTTTGAGCTGTATTTTTACTAAATTAAATAGAACTACTGGCTTACTTCTTTCCCTTGGAAAGGTTTGGATGTTAAAATGTTCCATGTTGGCTAGGAATATGACCAATTTACTCCTTGTAAGACTTGGACAATCCTTCTCTGGATAAAGGGTTATTCTTTATAATCCTGATAAACTGTGCTTACAAACATAGGCTATTTATTGATTCAAGCAATATTTCCTAACCTTCTCTTTCTACCCTCAGTAGACGGTGAACATTGTACAGACACTTCTTTTTCCTATTTTCAGTGCATTGCTCTGCAAGTGGCAGACTTGAAAAGAGGATATTGTGAATGATTTTTTAGTCCAATTTCTAATCCCTATTTATTGGCTAAAGGAAATATGAAAACTGATCCCTATTTATCGGCCAAACTTATAAAAGGAAATATGGAAACTAAACATATTAAGGGAAATATGGAGAAAATAGGAAAGATAAAATTTATCCTATTACAGATATATTCTGAATATATACAGGGAGATTCTATCCTAAATTAGCATCTATTTACAACAGGCAGATTAAGAAATCCGATGAGAATCGTTATTATGTTCTAAGAAAACTGGAACTCGTGATATTAATTAAGTTGTAATAAACAATCTTTTCTTACATTCTTCGGAATGTTGGTGATTGACATTTGACAAAGCTGAGCGAGTTGCAGATAACTGCACCAAGACACAGTCCCCTTCTCCTTCAAACCCACCTTTTGGGTTTGTCCTCGTTTTGTAAAATAAAGAACAATTTTAAGTAGAGACCACCCTTCTTCCTTATGGAACCTTTTCCCAAAAGAAGTTTCATGTAGTCTATACGTACATTATACTATCTTATAAAGAAAATGCTCTCGTTTTTATTATTCCGTTTGTATGTGGCTTCTATAATGTGGAAAGTAGAGTAGTGAACATAGCTAGAAAAAGGGACTCTGAAGATGAAATCATGTAACTGTGAATTCATTCCATTTGTGGATGATGAGATAAGTTATTATCCAAAGAGTTTGTGTTCAGAGTTTTAGTTAGCATAGAAACCTCATAGAAGTAGTCTTGTATGGGTTCCTTTCCGTGAATATAAACTCTTAAATTCTATTTGTACACGAATCTTCTAGTGGCATGGTATCTACTCTTAAACAGTACGAAATCGGCCTGAATTAATTACTGTTTTGATTGATAAATTTTTCTAATGAAAAAAAAAAAACTGCAGGTCCATCCAAATGTTCCGTGCATGCTGTTTACCCCAATCTGTCCACACTCGCTCTCATTTAGACCAGTCATACTTCCAGACTCTGCACAACTTGAATTGAAGGTGAAGTTAGTTACAAAGTTGTACGTTTAATTGCTTATGATGCATCTTTGCCAAAAAAGTGTTCCTCTTCAGATATGCTAAGTTGTCTCAGGGCCTGTATTGAAAAAAGCTACTTGGTTAAGGTCACATGGTAATTACGATGAGTAAATTTAGGGACAATGTATTTTGTTTGATTTGGAATTGAGGGGTTAACTAATTAATTTAAGATTTTGTGATTATAATATGAGTGACACAAGTTTATTGCTCACAGATTCCAGAGGATGCAAGAAGCAATGCCTGGGTTTCATTTGATGGAAAGAGAAGGCAGCAACTTTCAAGAGGAGATTCGGTTCGAATATCTATGAGTCAGTATCCACTTCCAACAGTTAACAAGTTTGATCAAACAGGTGATTGGTTTCATAGCTTAATTCGCTGCCTAAATTGGAATGAAAGGCTTGATCAAAAGGCTCTATAAAGCATGTGAAAGTGAAGAGCGAAGATGCTATCTTCACCTGTACAGATATACGTTAGGAATACACAAGTTTGCTATAGAGTGCTAGTTACTGCATTATTTTAACATTGGCTTCCCATGCACACTATTGTGGCAAGATGATATGTATTGACATTTAAAGCTGTCAATTGATCTCAGAAGCAGCTCATTGGTGTGTTTCGAAGTTCACCATTGGGCTTCTTTTTTCTTATTATTATACTCTATATATATAGTAGTTGAGTTACTATTACTATTTTTCTGCACTTAAGCCTCATTTTAATATAAATAACACAGACGTACTGTTCTAGATTCTTCCCTGATCCATTCACGTTATCCTTGGATGTTTTCTCTCTATTTCAACATGTAATTACCGGCAAACATAAAATCTGCCATATTATGTATATGTTTGTGTAACAATGGCCTCACTTTTGGGAAGAAGAAAAATACAGAGTTACAGTTTGTCAACTAACTGGATTTACACTAACTTTGTCAAAATATTCTGCAATTTCCTTGTAAGGATTTTATGATTTACAAGTTTTTGATATTTTTATGACCTATGAAATCTGTATGTCTACTTAACAAGCAAAAGGGTGTAAATTGAATCAATTATAAATTTTATTATGTTAATGCTTCGCTAAAGAAAAGGAAAATGTATACTTCGATATTTCCATAACATGCCAGTAGCTAAGCGGCAACTACTTGTCCCAAAGCTTAATAGTGATTGATTGCGTCGAGAAAAAAAGAGAAAGATAACTGCTCCGTGGTTATCCTTTTAAGAGTATGTTTTTTTGGGAAATATAACAGGATATGGAGATGATCGCGTTTATTGTACTTCGTGTTAGTGGATAATAACCGAAAGCAGACCAACACAACAACAGTATATACAAAAGGAAAGAATGAAGAGAAATTTATGATGGACAACTTTATAGTAGAATTCATCTAATAGAACTATTGTACCATGCAAGCACAGATGGATACACACTAGTTCCCCCATGACATCAGGAGGAGACAAAATCCTGAAAAAGGCAATACTAAATACCCATGGTGATTTTCGATTGTGTAGAGAATGACAACCAAATGGTATTCTTTGCTACTATCAAGCATATCTTATGGTATCAAAAACCCGAAAACAAAGAAAATATAGAAAAAAAAAGGAAAAAGTGGTATTTTTTATGCGGAAAGCAAGTGGTTTCTTCACATGGCCCTAACAGCTCGGAACCTTGGTTCCTTCGGAAGGAACTTCTGCTCAGCATAGACAGACATGTAATCACCAAAAACAAACTTAGGATAAGTGTCATCCACTTGTTGGTCTTGTTTTTCCACGAGTTGGGGTGCAGGATATATGGTGGCCTTGAATGATGGGTTATAGAAGGAGGCAATTGATCTTCTGTTCCCATCTGGAGTGGCCAGAACCCTGTGCCAACAACTCTTGTATCTTCCATTGCTCAGGACCTCAATCTGATCACCGGTGTTGATCACAATGGCGTTTGGCAGAGGTTGCACATCAATCCATTGCCCATCTTTGAGCATCTGAAGGCCACCAACCTTGTCATCTTGGAAGAGAAGGATGACACCTCCTGCATCAGTGTGAGCTCGCAGACCTTTCACAAGCTCTGGATGGGGACATGGAGGGTAGTGGCTCACCTTGGTGCCAAAGAATGCACCCTCTCCATCTCCACCATTCAGTGCCTTCTTGATGTATCCTTTGGGTAACTCCAGATTCTCATCCATCACCTCCATCACCCTCTCCGCCAATTTCTTCAACTCACACCGATATTCCGCCATGGTTTCCCTGTTATTCATGTGAAAATTCAGTTATTCAATCATGATGAAGCTCTACCTATTGTGTTGTGACATGACACCACTCAATTAGTGTTCTATGGTCGTTGTCTATGGTTTCCAAATTCAGGTTTGCTTTCATGTCATCTATATGTTTGGTGAAATGACCAATTTTAGTCATCAAGAGTAAGATGGATTGAATTCTGATTTACGCCTATTTGCTTGAAGTTGTACAAAAGAACATAAGAGAAAGTATATATGACAAGGGAGTGTGCATGAAATTATAGGTGGTGTCCTTCCTCATATGAAATATAATTTTTTATGTGATGTTCGACTTTTATTCTTTTTTTTAGTTTTTGTTTGACTTTCTTGAAGTATGAAGAACTGTTGAATTGCTTTATTTATATACCTGAAGCCTGGTGTTTTTTCTGGCCACTCGTTATCATCAAGGAGAGTGATAACGTCCTCCCAATCCACATACTCCTGCTTTTCACTGTCCTTCTTTTCAGCTAAATCACTCAGTAGCTTCACAGATGTCGACTTCTTGAAATTCTCCTCTCTTTCCAGCTTATAAAACTCAGAGGCAACCTTCTTCACCCTCTCAAGGAGTTCCTCTGGAATGCCATGGTTGATCAACTGTAACACAAAGCATGAGTTTTGATATGCATAAACATGTTTTAAACATCATATGAGCCATTCCTTGAAACATAAACAGTGTAAGTACCTGAAAAAATCCCCACTCTTCACAGCCATTAGCAATCTGAGCCATAGTTTTGGCTCTTTCTTCTCCATTCAGCTTTGAAAAATCAATCACTGGAATTGCCATTAGATGAGAAAGGTGCAAAAAAGTGATAAAAGTTATAGAGTGGAAGTCTGAGAGAGGGAAAGAGATAATAACAAGTGTTGTTTTGTGCTGTGGTTTGGGTGGGAAGTACCTATGGCTATTTATAGCAAAACTTCCCACCTTATTGGATACATAGTTGGATATCAACCAATAGTATATGTTCCCTTTAAAAGTAAGCAGCCGTTAGAATTAGGTCACAGACGGTGATACATTTAATTAAAAAATTTCTTATGTCAATGCTTGCTTTGGGAGTTACTGCTTGTTTTTAGCATACAAGTCTACAACAAAAGGCCTTCACTTTCAGGTGATGCATCATATTAATTATCAAACGTAGTTTCTTAATTAAAACATAATCATATTGTTAATCATGATAGGATTTTTATTCTTAAAAATATCAATTTTACATTATTTGAAGAAACTTTTGTACTTTACTTTATTAATATACTCTGTACAGAAAGCAAAACTATAACCATTGATAGCAGATCTGTTTGTGAATTAATGAGTATGAATCCGAGTCAAACACTGTGGCTGACCTTATTTTATGTTCAAAACCAACCCAAGCACTTTCATTAAACCATCATTAGCACTGCATAATTATACTTTAAGCAAAACCATAAGAGTCATTTGACCATTATGGCTTAATATCAGCAGTGTTGGGATAGTTGAATTTTCCTTTTGGTATTGATTCATGTGAAATTCTTATCTTGTTAGCAATAAAGTATGATTAGTTTATCCTTTAGAGAGTTTGAAAATGTGATTTTGCGTATAGTTTAAATCTGTGCCGACTAATGTAATGATATGTTGACCACCCCATATTGCTTTGTAGAACTTCTACCAATGAATTCACACATGATGTGCTCCTCTGTGACCATTGCTGTTTCGAATAGTATATACTGTTAATAGACAGATTTGCAGGCATAGTTTTAGGGGTAAGGAAGGCAGAGTCATCAAGGCTTCAATCTATAACTCATTACACAATCATTTACCTGTAATTTAATAAGCTTGTCAACTTCGTCAATTGACATTCAAGTATAGTTAATATTTTCCTTTTTGTAATTATTAAGCATAACATGGCAACATCAAATCGCTTTAGTTCCTCTTTGCCTTGTTGAGTGATCCCTTGCAGATCAAAACTACCATTATTGTATGTTGAATAATTGAATAGTTAGTGCATTATTGGGGTTTGATTTGATTCCAAATGTCCGAATGTTAGGATACATTTCTGAGCAAACAGGTGATATTGGCGTCTGATTAAGGAGTTGGGTTTTACAGACTTAACTCATCCATTGCTGTACTTTCAGTACTTGAGCATCTCAAAAATCATAAACTGCTTCAGATTGCATTACTGGCATGGCCTTCCCAAGCAAAATATAAATATGGGACCCTCATACTCTCTTCAGTTTACAACATCATCATTATATCAAGACAAATAACTCTTCACTGCCACCACTCCTCCTTTCATCCAAACTCTAATCATTCACATTATTTTATTCCTCAAGCTGACTAAGCTTCTTGGACAAAGTGGGATGGAGGATGCAGTAATTAAATTATTCCTTTAGTTTTAGTATTGGAAAATTAAAAATTAAAATATGTGTCTAACTTTCACATTTAATAAAAAAAAATATGACATGAAAATAAAGATCTATAAATTTATTGTGTTAAAGTTTTGGATTCAAAATAATGTCAATTTTTTTATGTGAATTCAACTTTTGTTTTACTGGTATTATATATTTCTGGAGATCTTCCTTTGAATAACCCATTATATATTCTAATTGTGTTAATGGATTGATTTATATTTAGTTTAACTTTGAAATACTATATTATATGATGAAGTTTATACTTCATTTATGTATTATAATTCAACTCAAAATTTGGAATTTGATTTTCTGTTAGAGATTTTGATGTTTTCTTTACATTGTCTTTAAAATATACTAATTTACTTTGATTTTGATGTTTTAAAATACATTTTTATTTAATTTTATAAATTCAGGGTATTTAAAAGACACACTATAAAGTAAAAAATAAAAAAACAGCTGAAAACCTAAATTCTCCGTAAGGATTGAAATTGGGATCCTCAAACTATTGTGTTATTTTAGTTCTCCAAGTTGATCTGAGGAATCTGGAAACAAATCCCAGTCTTGGATGTGAAAATCAAAACCCTAAACCCACAGTTCATATATAAGATACTAATCAACAAAATACTATTTTTTTTTAATTCACTAAAGGAATCTTATAACTTCTAATGTTAGTGAAAAAATTCAATCCTCAATCTCTTCTACTTCTCATCTAACTTTACCATCAAACTAATCCTATAATAAAAATACTGAAAATGAAATAGAAACTCAAGTCTTGATGTATTTATTCTGAATTTTAGGACTAAAACAAATTTGAGTTAGTTAAAAAAGTTTAAATATATTCATAATTTCTATAAAAATACTTGTTAGTTTACATCTTTTGTATTTTCATATTGTCATTGTTGAATTTCATTTATAATAGTTAATGTACCGTTAAAAAAAGTATCACTATCTTATTTTTATTAAATAAGAAATAAATTACATTATGTATCTAAAATCTTTATGACATTATCTATTGCCTTATTTATTAATTAATATTTTCTATTTTTAGTGTTAAACTAATCCTAGTTAGAGATAAAAAGTAAAATAAAATAGTTAAAAAAATGTGATAGAGTAAAAGCTAATAAATAGTTTTGCAAGATGAAGTTATATGTGAGGAATTATTCAAGACAAAAATTATATATATATATATATATATATGTCAAATTGATCCATTGATCTATTTAAGTAATAAGTAAAATTTAACTCAAAATATTCTTAGATAGTACCAATTAACCAATTGGAATATTATAACTCAAATCCCCTGAAACATTTATATTCAACAACACATCATTTTAAAATCAAACTCTTTAGCTCAACAATTTAAAAGGTCAATATACTAAATCAAACATTACAATTAATATCTTCTCATCCAAGCATTAATCACATATTTATCATATTGAATAATATTATAATTTACTAGTTTCTTTACTTGGATTGTAAGTTCCTAACACAAAGGGCTCCATTGTTTCTACCACATAAGATGCAATAAAAAACTTAAATCAAAGATCTTATTGCATTTTAATAATTCTAATTGAACAGTTTTAATTGAATAAAGATTCATCTTGAACCTTTACACATCACATACAAGCTCAACAACTCTACATGTAACAAATTCACCAAAAATAAATCAAAAAAAATATAAAAGATTAACTTAATATATCTAAGATTTTGATAAGACAGGATTGTAATACTCCTCGATATACTTAATAAGCATAATAATATAACTTTTACTCTCCTAATTACTAAACTTAATTTAATAAAAAAATAAATATAAAAACTAAAAAAAACTAAAATAAAAGGATTAAATTATTAATTAAGCCTATGATTAACATAAAAATTATGTGAATTATTATATTTTTGGTAATACTGTAATGTGCATATTTTATGTTATATATATATGCGGGTCGATTCAAACTACAAGGGAAACCTGGTAGGGGTAGGTAAAAGAAAGTTAATACTAAATCCTTCAAAGCAAAACTTCTAAAAGTTAAAGTCCTTTTTTGGAATGTGAGAGGATTGACTGATGATAAATTTTTTAATATGCTGAGGAATTTTCCTTTTTTATGGTGTATGGAGTTCAAAGTATGGAATGATTTTCGTGAATGAAATCATGAGTTTTTTTTCATAATAGGTATTTTTTTCCTATGTGTGATGTAATTTTATCATGGATTTGGTGTGGTCTCCCAATGTTTTTCTTCTTTCTCTTTTTTATTTTTTAATAAAATTTAAGCTTATTTGGAAAATGCCATACCTTATTTATCTTCCTTGTGGGAACTTCTTCAACATGCTGATTAGCATTGCTCTACCATAAATGTAGGTGGTGATCCTTCTTCCCTTCTTGATGGGAAGTTGATAGACCTTTAGATGCTTCTCAAAATCTTCAAAGATCAATCAATGCCATGGGCATGCCCATGGAGTCCAATACAAATGTTTCTGTTTTTGCATCAACCATTTTCCAACTGTTTTGAAATTTGCAGCATTATCAGTTGCCACTTTCACCACATTCTCCTCTCCAACAAATTCCACAACATCATCCAATATTTTAAACACTTTATTTGTGGTTTTTGGATGTCCGAGGCATCCAATGAATAAAGAAACACAATTTCTTTAGGGCTGTTATCAAAAGGTTACAATTTGAACATCCTTTTCTATTTGTGTGCCCATCAAACATAATTGTGCAACATGTTCCCACTCCTCCCTATACTCTTCAAGTATTAAATCGTTTTTTTTGCATTGGTTGTTTCAAAATATTTTCTCTAACATAAGATGGAGGTTTATAGCCAACATCATATCTTTCAATCATCTCATATTTTTCCAAAAGTTGGATTTTTAATAACATTGAATGGAATGACAACTGTAGGAAAATTCAGCAACTTTAGAATAAACTTTCTTTGTCCCGTTTTTGTTTGTACAATTTATTTAAATTAGTTTGAACACCATGACTATATTTTTCCTTTCTTTTATTTTTGAGCATTCTACTATTACTTTGAGTGGCAACCACCCCTTCACTCTTCATATCATCAAACTCTTCGATGCTATTCAACCTTCATTTATTCATTGATGGTTCCTTAGTCATCTTTACAATTTTAACTTCTTTTGGCATCGAGGCACAATGTTCAGAATCATATCTAGTACTGTAAGATGATGCTTGAATACAAAATTTCCTCCATTGAATGCCTTTGAGCAATAGCTATATTTAACTATTTTCTGTTGTCCAAAACATCTACTCCATGATTCCATCCAACATATGTCCTATTTCCTACAACATTTTTCTAAGTCTAGGAAGTGAAGTGCTTCTATATATTGGGATCATAATAATTTGAACTGGTTTCACTTTCAGACATTGTAAAACTTTTGCGACTAAACATGAAATAGAAAAGAAAAAGAAAAAAAATTAGTAACTAACAAAATAGATCCAACATAAAGGAAAATAAAATAAAAGAAAGAAAATGGATGATAGGAAATGTGGTAAGTGGGAAAAACACTCTCACCTCTTTGGAGAGATGAGATGTGATTTGTCTTAGAAGAGAACAATGTTGGGGAAAAGCCACATGACAACGATTGAAGACATCATGCAGAGAAGATGCAACTATAGATGCTTTTCATAAATGTGACTTGATGACAATGGGGAACAAGGTGTAGAGAAGACGTGAATGGCACCAAATATGTGACGTGAAGTGGTGGTGGCTAGAGAAGAAGCACAAAACGTAGGTATGCTTTCTATTAGAGAATCACTGACCCAACCTATTGTTCTTTACAATGTGGTTTTCAAAGCGTGAATAACAACATTTCGTCTTGACTTTGTGCCAAATCACAGACTCAGTAACTCAAACTTTGTCTCATGAGTCTACCATTAGTGAACTGAGTCCACGAGTGAGCCGAGTCTACCACAAGCGAACTAAGTTAACCATGGGTAAACTAATTTCCATGGTGTCTTAGTACACACTTTCAGCCCAACATGTCTCTGTTTTCTCTTTAAAATGTTCCTTACATAGCAAAGGAATCAAAATTAGGAAATAAATCTTCTTGTGAATGTATGCACTGGGGATTGGGTAATATTATTCTGAGCCTAATTTGGTATTCTGACACATTTGTGCTTAGTGATTCTTTTGGGAACTATATATTGGTTCTGAATTTCTTATAACTAGTTTGGTTAAATTCATTCTCAGTAGAGTTTCTGTATCTAATCTGCAGGTTGCTTCTTTTCTGTATTACCAAGAGAAAATGAATGTATTTGTGGAACCAGATGTGCATGATATATTTGCAAGCATTCCTGGGTTTGGATTTGTCCAGACCTTCTATAGTCAGGATACTGGGTACTGGAGTTTGTGAATTTATGTGTAACAACTTTACCTTTTCCCACTATATAAAATTTGTGTTTCATTAAATTGTTGATTAATATATCTAATACCTATGGTTCAGTGATCTACACGAGAAAGTGGATTTTGTAGCCTGTTTGGGGGGAGATGGTGTTATACTGCATGCTTCGAATCTGTTCAGAGGTGCTGTTCCCCCTGTTGTGTCATTTAACCTTGGTTCTCTTGGTTTCCTGACTTCTCATAATGTAAGCCTTTTAAATCCATCATTTATTTCACCATAAAGAAATGTTGGTATCTTTTTGGCCATGCGTTTGACTGCTATTCTTTTTTCTAGTTTGAAGACTACAAGCAGGACTTAAAACAAATTATCCATGGTAATAGTGCACAAGATGGAGTGTACATCACTCTCAGAATGCGTCTTCGATGTGAAATTTTTCGAAACGGTAAAGCTGCACCAGGGAAAGTATTTGATATTCTCAATGAGGTTGTTGTTGATCGGGGTTCTAATCCATACCTGTCAAAGATTGAATGTTATGAACATGGTAGACTTATAACAAAGGCATGTTTGATTATGTAATTGTTATTTGCACACCAAATTTCTGTCTTTTATATTTGGTGATGAGAGCTTTTAGTATCTTTAAACACCTTTAGGAAGCAGTGTCATTCATTCTATACGATCATTGTCATGTCTTTCAGGTACAAGCTGATGGAGTCATTGTAGCAACCCCTACTGGAAGCACTGCCTATTCTACAGCTGCTGGAGGTTCCATGGTAAGCTTGAGCTTGAGTTCTTTACAAGCATGGTTTGAGCTGTATTTTTACTAAATTAAATAGAACTACTGGCTTACTTCTTTCCCTTGGAAAGGTTTGGATGTTAAAATGTTCCATGTTGGCTAGGAATATGACCAATTTACTCCTTGTAAGACTTGGACAATCCTTCTCTGGATAAAGGGTTATTCTTTATAATCCTGATAAACTGTGCTTACAAACATAGGCTATTTATTGATTCAAGCAATATTTCCTAACCTTCTCTTTCTACCCTCAGTAGACGGTGAACATTGTACAGACACTTCTTTTTCCTATTTTCAGTGCATTGCTCTGCAAGTGGCAGACTTGAAAAGAGGATATTGTGAATGATTTTTTAGTCCAATTTCTAATCCCTATTTATTGGCTAAAGGAAATATGAAAACTGATCCCTATTTATCGGCCAAACTTATAAAAGGAAATATGGAAACTAAACATATTAAGGGAAATATGGAGAAAATAGGAAAGATAAAATTTATCCTATTACAGATATATTCTGAATATATACAGGGAGATTCTATCCTAAATTAGCATCTATTTACAACAGGCAGATTAAGAAATCCGATGAGAATCGTTATTATGTTCTAGAAAACTGGAACTCGTGATATTAATTAAGTTGTAATAAACAATCTTTTCTTACATTCTTCGGAATGTTGGTGATTGACATTTTACAAAGCTGAGCGAGTTGCAGATAACTGCACCAGACAGTCCCTTCTTCCTTCAAACCCACCTTTTGGGTTTGTTCCTCGTTTTGTAAATAAAGAACAATTTTAAGTAGAGACCACCCTTCTTCCTTATGGAACCTTTTCCCAAAAGAAGTTTCATGTAGTCTATACGTACATTATACTATCTTATAAAGAAAATGCTCTCGTTTTTATTATTCCGTTTGTATGTGGCTTCTATAATGTGGAAAGTAGAGTAGTGAACATAGCTAGAAAAAGGGACTCTGAAGATGAAATCATGTAACTGTGAATTCATTCCATTTGTGGATGATGAGATAAGTTATTATCCAAAGAGTTTGTGTTCAGAGTTTTAGTTAGCATAGAAACCTCATAGAAGTAGTCTTGTATGGGTTCCTTTCCGTGAATATAAACTCTTAAATTCTATTTGTACACGAATCTTCTAGTGGCATGGTATCTACTCTTAAACAGTACGAAATCGGCCTGAATTAATTACTGTTTTGATTGATAAATTTTTCTAATGAAAAAAAAAAAACTGCAGGTCCATCCAAATGTTCCGTGCATGCTGTTTACCCCAATCTGTCCACACTCGCTCTCATTTAGACCAGTCATACTTCCAGACTCTGCACAACTTGAATTGAAGGTGAAGTTAGTTACAAAGTTGTACGTTTAATTGCTTATGATGCATCTTTGCCAAAAAAGTGTTCCTCTTCAGATATGCTAAGTTGTCTCAGGGCCTGTATTGAAAAAAGCTACTTGGTTAAGGTCACATGGTAATTACGATGAGTAAATTTAGGGACAATGTATTTTGTTTGATTTGGAATTGAGGGGTTAACTAATTAATTTAAGATTTTGTGATTATAATATGAGTGACACAAGTTTATTGCTCACAGATTCCAGAGGATGCAAGAAGCAATGCCTGGGTTTCATTTGATGGAAAGAGAAGGCAGCAACTTTCAAGAGGAGATTCGGTTCGAATATCTATGAGTCAGTATCCACTTCCAACAGTTAACAAGTTTGATCAAACAGGTGATTGGTTTCATAGCTTAATTCGCTGCCTAAATTGGAATGAAAGGCTTGATCAAAAGGCTCTATAAAGCATGTGAAAGTGAAGAGCGAAGATGCTATCTTCACCTGTACAGATATACGTTAGGAATACACAAGTTGCTATAGAGTGCTAGTTACTGCATTATTTTAACATTGGCTTCCCATGCACACTATTGTGGCAAGATGATATGTATTGACATTTAAAGCTGTCAATTGATCTCAGAAGCAGCTCATTGGTGTGTTTCGAAGTTCACCATTGGGCTTCTTTTTTCTTATTATTATACTCTATATATATAGTAGTTGAGTTACTATTACTATTTTTCTGCACTTAAGCCTCATTTTAATATAAATAACACAGACGTACTGTTCTAGATTCTTCCCTGATCCATTCACGTTATCCTTGGATGTTTTCTCTCTATTTCAACATGTAATTACCGGCAAACATAAAATCTGCCATATTATGTATATGTTTGTGTAACAATGGCCTCACTTTTGGGAAGAAGAAAAATACAGAGTTACAGTTTGTCAACTAACTGGATTTACACTAACTTTGTCAAAATATTCTGCAATTTCCTTGTAAGGATTTTATGATTTACAAGTTTTTGATATTTTTATGACCTATGAAATCTGTATGTCTACTTAACAAGCAAAAGGGTGTAAATTGAATCAATTATAAATTTTATTATGTTAATGCTTCGCTAAAGAAAAGGAAAATGTATACTTCGATATTTCCATAACATGCCAGTAGCTAAGCGGCAACTACTTGTCCCAAAGCTTAATAGTGATTGATTGCGTCGAGAAAAAAAGAGAAAGATAACTGCTCCGTGGTTATCCTTTTAAGAGTATGTTTTTTTGGGAAATATAACAGGATATGGAGATGATCGCGTTTATTGTACTTCGTGTTAGTGGATAATAACCGAAAGCAGACCAACACAACAACAGTATATACAAAAGGAAAGAATGAAGAGAAATTTATGATGGACAACTTTATAGTAGAATTCATCTAATAGAACTATTGTACCATGCAAGCACAGATGGATACACACTAGTTCCCCCATGACATCAGGAGGAGACAAAATCCTGAAAAAGGCAATACTAAATACCCATGGTGATTTTCGATTGTGTAGAGAATGACAACCAAATGGTATTCTTTGCTACTATCAAGCATATCTTATGGTATCAAAAACCCGAAAACAAAGAAAATATAGAAAAAAAAAGGAAAAAGTGGTATTTTTTATGCGGAAAGCAAGTGGTTTCTTCACATGGCCCTAACAGCTCGGAACCTTGGTTCCTTCGGAAGGAACTTCTGCTCAGCATAGACAGACATGTAATCACCAAAAACAAACTTAGGATAAGTGTCATCCACTTGTTGGTCTTGTTTTTCCACGAGTTGGGGTGCAGGATATATGGTGGCCTTGAATGATGGGTTATAGAAGGAGGCAATTGATCTTCTGTTCCCATCTGGAGTGGCCAGAACCCTGTGCCAACAACTCTTGTATCTTCCATTGCTCAGGACCTCAATCTGATCACCGGTGTTGATCACAATGGCGTTTGGCAGAGGTTGCACATCAATCCATTGCCCATCTTTGAGCATCTGAAGGCCACCAACCTTGTCATCTTGGAAGAGAAGGATGACACCTCCTGCATCAGTGTGAGCTCGCAGACCTTTCACAAGCTCTGGATGGGGACATGGAGGGTAGTGGCTCACCTTGGTGCCAAAGAATGCACCCTCTCCATCTCCACCATTCAGTGCCTTCTTGATGTATCCTTTGGGTAACTCCAGATTCTCATCCATCACCTCCATCACCCTCTCCGCCAATTTCTTCAACTCACACCGATATTCCGCCATGGTTTCCCTGTTATTCATGTGAAAATTCAGTTATTCAATCATGATGAAGCTCTACCTATTGTGTTGTGACATGACACCACTCAATTAGTGTTCTATGGTCGTTGTCTATGGTTTCCAAATTCAGGTTTGCTTTCATGTCATCTATATGTTTGGTGAAATGACCAATTTTAGTCATCAAGAGTAAGATGGATTGAATTCTGATTTACGCCTATTTGCTTGAAGTTGTACAAAAGAACATAAGAGAAAGTATATATGACAAGGGAGTGTGCATGAAATTATAGGTGGTGTCCTTCCTCATATGAAATATAATTTTTTATGTGATGTTCGACTTTTATTCTTTTTTTTAGTTTTTGTTTGACTTTCTTGAAGTATGAAGAACTGTTGAATTGCTTTATTTATATACCTGAAGCCTGGTGTTTTTTCTGGCCACTCGTTATCATCAAGGAGAGTGATAACGTCCTCCCAATCCACATACTCCTGCTTTTCACTGTCCTTCTTTTCAGCTAAATCACTCAGTAGCTTCACAGATGTCGACTTCTTGAAATTCTCCTCTCTTTCCAGCTTATAAAACTCAGAGGCAACCTTCTTCACCCTCTCAAGGAGTTCCTCTGGAATGCCATGGTTGATCAACTGTAACACAAAGCATGAGTTTTGATATGCATAAACATGTTTTAAACATCATATGAGCCATTCCTTGAAACATAAACAGTGTAAGTACCTGAAAAAATCCCCACTCTTCACAGCCATTAGCAATCTGAGCCATAGTTTTGGCTCTTTCTTCTCCATTCAGCTTTGAAAAATCAATCACTGGAATTGCCATTAGATGAGAAAGGTGCAAAAAAGTGATAAAAGTTATAGAGTGGAAGTCTGAGAGAGGGAAAGAGATAATAACAAGTGTTGTTTTGTGCTGTGGTTTGGGTGGGAAGTACCTATGGCTATTTATAGCAAAACTTCCCACCTTATTGGATACATAGTTGGATATCAACCAATAGTATATGTTCCCTTTAAAAGTAAGCAGCCGTTAGAATTAGGTCACAGACGGTGATACATTTAATTAAAAAATTTCTTATGTCAATGCTTGCTTTGGGAGTTACTGCTTGTTTTTAGCATACAAGTCTACAACAAAAGGCCTTCACTTTCAGGTGATGCATCATATTAATTATCAAACGTAGTTTCTTAATTAAAACATAATCATATTGTTAATCATGATAGGATTTTTATTCTTAAAAATATCAATTTTACATTATTTGAAGAAACTTTTGTACTTTACTTTATTAATATACTCTGTACAGAAAGCAAAACTATAACCATTGATAGCAGATCTGTTTGTGAATTAATGAGTATGAATCCGAGTCAAACACTGTGGCTGACCTTATTTTATGTTCAAAACCAACCCAAGCACTTTCATTAAACCATCATTAGCACTGCATAATTATACTTTAAGCAAAACCATAAGAGTCATTTGACCATTATGGCTTAATATCAGCAGTGTTGGGATAGTTGAATTTTCCTTTTGGTATTGATTCATGTGAAATTCTTATCTTGTTAGCAATAAAGTATGATTAGTTTATCCTTTAGAGAGTTTGAAAATGTGATTTTGCGTATAGTTTAAATCTGTGCCGACTAATGTAATGATATGTTGACCACCCCATATTGCTTTGTAGAACTTCTACCAATGAATTCACACATGATGTGCTCCTCTGTGACCATTGCTGTTTCGAATAGTATATACTGTTAATAGACAGATTTGCAGGCATAGTTTTAGGGGTAAGGAAGGCAGAGTCATCAAGGCTTCAATCTATAACTCATTACACAATCATTTACCTGTAATTTAATAAGCTTGTCAACTTCGTCAATTGACATTCAAGTATAGTTAATATTTTCCTTTTTGTAATTATTAAGCATAACATGGCAACATCAAATCGCTTTAGTTCCTCTTTGCCTTGTTGAGTGATCCCTTGCAGATCAAAACTACCATTATTGTATGTTGAATAATTGAATAGTTAGTGCATTATTGGGGTTTGATTTGATTCCAAATGTCCGAATGTTAGGATACATTTCTGAGCAAACAGGTGATATTGGCGTCTGATTAAGGAGTTGGGTTTTACAGACTTAACTCATCCATTGCTGTACTTTCAGTACTTGAGCATCTCAAAAATCATAAACTGCTTCAGATTGCATTACTGGCATGGCCTTCCCAAGCAAAATATAAATATGGGACCCTCATACTCTCTTCAGTTTACAACATCATCATTATATCAAGACAAATAACTCTTCACTGCCACCACTCCTCCTTTCATCCAAACTCTAATCATTCACATTATTTTATTCCTCAAGCTGACTAAGCTTCTTGGACAAAGTGGGATGGAGGATGCAGTAATTAAATTATTCCTTTAGTTTTAGTATTGGAAAATTAAAAATTAAAATATGTGTCTAACTTTCACATTTAATAAAAAAAAATATGACATGAAAATAAAGATCTATAAATTTATTGTGTTAAAGTTTTGGATTCAAAATAATGTCAATTTTTTTATGTGAATTCAACTTTTGTTTTACTGGTATTATATATTTCTGGAGATCTTCCTTTGAATAACCCATTATATATTCTAATTGTGTTAATGGATTGATTTATATTTAGTTTAACTTTGAAATACTATATTATATGATGAAGTTTATACTTCATTTATGTATTATAATTCAACTCAAAATTTGGAATTTGATTTTCTGTTAGAGATTTTGATGTTTTCTTTACATTGTCTTTAAAATATACTAATTTACTTTGATTTTGATGTTTTAAAATACATTTTTATTTAATTTTATAAATTCAGGGTATTTAAAAGACACACTATAAAGTAAAAAATAAAAAAACAGCTGAAAACCTAAATTCTCCGTAAGGATTGAAATTGGGATCCTCAAACTATTGTGTTATTTTAGTTCTCCAAGTTGATCTGAGGAATCTGGAAACAAATCCCAGTCTTGGATGTGAAAATCAAAACCCTAAACCCACAGTTCATATATAAGATACTAATCAACAAAATACTATTTTTTTTTAATTCACTAAAGGAATCTTATAACTTCTAATGTTAGTGAAAAAATTCAATCCTCAATCTCTTCTACTTCTCATCTAACTTTACCATCAAACTAATCCTATAATAAAAATACTGAAAATGAAATAGAAACTCAAGTCTTGATGTATTTATTCTGAATTTTAGGACTAAAACAAATTTGAGTTAGTTAAAAAAGTTTAAATATATTCATAAT